ACCCTAGCATGCTAGAGCACCTCAGCCGATCTACTACTTCCAATGAGTAAGTCAGGATCGCCATAAATAGGCCGCTAGCCACCATAATAATAGGGTCTGTGGGGATGTCAAAAAATTCACCATGACGTTCTGCGACCGCTGGAAAAGAGGCCCGCAGTGTTACAAATAGTATAATCTGGTACCTGCTATCTGCTACTAGACAGAGTAACAGTGACACCAGACCCTACACCGATACAGCAAGCATTAATATAAACCGTAGTCTATGGAGGCAGGCCGTGACCAGAAGCAAGATGCAGAAGGTGCTAGCCTCGTCGACCGGCCAGATGTACCATGCGACGAGCTCAGGGCCAGAGTACCTGTGAAGTGACTGTATCTACTGTATCTATTCGCTTGATATAGAGTACATCCATAATAGTACTAATGTTGTTGTTAGCCATGCGAAGGAGGTTTGAAATGCCTGGAAGTAGTGTACTAGCCACCGACGAGGGGTTCTTCGACGTCCACGGTTTGACGAGCCACGTCTCGCACTTTCACGAGAAGCCCGAAGGGAAGCACCATTGCTACTGCTACTGCCGCTCACTGGCGGCTCCCGCACTAGAATGGATACTATGATGAAGTGAACCTTACGCAAACCGATAGAGGACGGAATAGTATACCATACCCACTAGCCCCAGATAGATCAGAGCGTTGAGTGGTTCGGTTAGCAGGACTCTGCCGAACGTCACGCCGGGATAGCGATTGCGCAACGACTCATACCTACACATAAGGACCATCGTGGTCGGGCAAAGATAAGAAGGTGTTGCTGCTGCCCAAGGACTAACTTAGGGCCACAATGAGGAAGCCACCAAGGACCAGTATCAGACTCAGAATTCGGACCAGGTGTAAACTTCTATATGCTAAGTCAATTTGGTATCTAGGGAGGAAGTTAACACGGCGGTTGGCAGCCTGCAGGCACTACCCCTTTTCGAGGCCAGGGTTCTCGAACTCCAGTGTGAACCAGTGCATGCTTTGGCCATGTCGAGCCCACAACTCGTGACGGTTCAACTTGTCGTAGAGAACGGCATCCCACTTACCTACACCTCTCTATCGGTGTAAGGCTTAATAGTCACACTTCTACTACAGTATAGCTGTCCATTTTTAGGATTCTTGCAGTCATGTAGTTTTAAAGGGATGCGGAGTGTCCAGGGCAATAGAGACACAGCTGACACGTCCCACCTGATATACCGTAATCTCCACTAATCCTATGGGAACATCGGTCGTATCAGGAAACGACCTTATCAAAGCGCCTTTGCCCCTTGGTGGTGGTAACGGGAAAGCATCCCATTCAGGAGGGTCACTAAGACCACTATTCTTCACTTCACCAGTACCATTGAGAGTACCTATGCAGCGACTAGAGTTCAGTCTGAGGAACCACGTCCTACTTGTAGACCCCCTATTAGTAACACGCATCATCGCAGTATCCCCTACAGCACGCCTATGCTCCAGTGAGGAGGCCCTAGCCATAGCACAGGTCCTCCACAACGCATCTCACCAACACTACCTGCCCTCTACAGAGTAGATACTTCCACCTCCTCCCTGTTGGTCCATAACAGTAGAAGAGGTTTTCTTAGAACGAAATAGCCGCATTTATCAATAACAAACTGCTCATGATATAGCATATTCATATCCAATAACACCGCACGCTTTTCTCTATGTTGTCCTCACCATACGTAGGGGAAAACCATACACACTGGATAAAAGCCTCCCAATGGCAGCATGCAACGTACTGATATGCCCCAGGCCAAGTAAGTTCAGGAATGGAAGCTCTCTATCCTCTTCACAACGCCGACCACCATCGATTCATCAATGCTAGCTCAGATCACCGATAATTATCCCAACTCCCAGTAGAATTACAGTCACGAACGCAACCCTTATGCGAAGTTAAGCTGTAGGAATGGAAGTAATATGGAACACATATTGTGCTACAGTACAACAACAACAACCGCCGAACATAGGATTGCTCCCTTACTCTGAGGTTACAATGGGCAGCGACCACAGCTCTTCTTGTTGAGGTTTCCTATTACTACGAGTATCATTAATAACATTATGTTAGCCATCCAGCGAGGACCGCCAAGTCAGCGAAAGCACATTGCTTGTGAGCCTCAAGGACCCACAGCGGATGCCGTTGCGTACACTAGTATGATCCTCGCCCAACGATGGTAGAGAAGAAGAAGAAGAATGGACAGAAATATTAATGAAGTATTACAGACATCATCGGAGGACAGCAGACAGAGATGATAAGAGTGTTGTGAAAATGGTCGTGTTAAGAACGACAACATCATTCTCAGCAACAAGAGGAAAACTCTGAGGGTGCACGGCACTTAGCCAGCGCCTTCTATGCGTCAGCCACAAAGGCGACGACAGCAGAACAATGATAACAACAGCAGCCTTCGAAAGCCTTAGCTGTGTTACTAGTAAGAGATAGCTCAATGACGACACTGTCTACTACTGGACGGCTGAATGCATCATCAGTTCAGGAGTTATTTATGAAAGATCAGAGGAACCGTAGTTACTCGGTAAAAAATGGAGAGTCTCTCAGCAATGTTAATGTAACAGTACATCACCGAGATGCTCATCAGCATTACGAATAGTTACTTGCTGTAGAAATCGATAACACCAACGAGAGAAACCCAGGTACCGAGTACAAGGGATACCAAACCGACCACGATCATCAACCAGTACCACCAGTTTTTCCAGGCATATATGTTCCCCTTGCCCTTGGCAAGAACGATATTGAAAGCCCCAGGACCCAAGAAGCAGACGATGGACCCTGCAATGGCTCCGACAAGGCCCAGAATCATATTCACATCAGGCAAGGCGACCGCCACTGCGAATGACAGAGCCACCGTTAAAGTAGCGATGACTATACCAATGATGGTTCGATGCTTCTTAGGGTTCAATGAATACAATATAGTTGTCCTCACAGGGTAGATATTGAGAGGGAAACAGCCAATGATAGCAACGCCCATTAGAATGAAAGCGATGCATACCATAGGATCACCAGATTGGATCATTGGACTCAAACTGATGAGAACACTGGAGGCGATATCATCTCCGAAGTTGACGAAGAATAGGATGCCTACCATAAGGTAGACAATTACACTGACGATCATAGACACAGCAGTGACCCTCCTCATAGCAGACGGCTTCCGGTTCGACAGGCCAACGTAAATCTCTGGTACGTTCGGTTGACTTGAGAAAGCAAAGATGTACGTACTGAAGGCAGACATGAGAGACCCCGCATTGATAGGGGTCCATGCAGTATCCACATCAAAGGCATCCGAAACACCGTAACGAGAGAGAGTATAGATAGCTGTGATAGCCAGGAAGCACACTCCCACAGAACCAGCCATAGTGAGGTACCTGATGGAACCTATGCCCTTTAGGAGCGATATGGGCAGTAGTATAACGACCGTGACTAGAGTGCTGAAATAGACCCTATCCACGAACATTATTCCGTACCAAGTATCAGGGTTGGAGCCAAAGGCAGCGACGAACACAGGGTTGAAGATATCATAGATCGTGACGATGTATGCAGCGGCAGTACCAAAGCAGAAAAGGAATAAACCGATTTGGAAAATCCATCCCAATTTCTTCCCGAAGAGCATTTCCACAAGGTCCTCATAAGTGTCCTTCTGTGCGATATCCTGCGCCCTGACGATCATCTCGACAGAAAGGAATGTAAAGAAGCACATGGCACAGAGTAAAATAGTGCCAGCTATGATACCAGCACCGTACATAGTGTAAGGCACGGCCAGTGCACCAGCACCAAGGGTACCCTTCATGAGGCTGAACGCAGCCGCGGCCTCAGAGCCCTCAGCTAGCACATCCCACCACTTGAAATTGTTGCCAAGAGGTTTGGACTCCTTCACAGTACAGTCGCTGTCAGTCTTAGATGAGGGCGACAACTCAACCACGGCATCCGCCTGTTCGACCATCACTAAGTCGGAGGAAAATGAGGAAGGCTAATGGGAAAAGCAATAAAGATACCACACCAACCTGGATTCATATTAACATCGGAAAAATTCCTCTACCATAGGTCGCTAT